CCACATGACTGCCAATTGTACAAGAGCCCCAGGAATGGCTTTCTGCACCCATGGCATTGCACGATTGCCATTTTATTCACGGATTTCCCCCATGAATGAAAAGATACATGTGGGAGACGGGGGAGCTACAGGTCAGAGGTAGTGTCATGCGATCAGCATCATCAATGCTGCTTCCTTCCCAGAGAATTTGCAGTTTAAAGGCCACATGTGATAATCTCCTAGGACTACTGAAATCCAGTAATATTTTTATTGGGCCACCCAAAAGGCATCAAATTATTCATGCTAGCTTTCAAAGTTTACTGGCTTCTTCATTAATCAAAGGTAGGAGAAAATCAGGCAGGAGAAGAGAATTATTACAAGTCTGTGTCTTGCTTGAGGTGTTTGCTTAAGATTTTATTTATTTATTTGATTTATATCCCATCTTTCCTCCAATATAGGAGCCGAAGTAGCTTACAGTGTAAGTTAAAACAAACACAATATTACTGAGGTGCCTGGGAACAAATGAAGTGAAATATAAGCAACAAAAGTTTCATTTTTCTCCAGTTGTAGCCCCTTGGGCTGCACCTGCACTACAGAAGTAATCCACTCTGACACCATTTTAACTGCCATAGCTCAGTGCTATGGAATCCTGGGAACCATAGTTTGTTCTCTGACAGGGAAGGCTAAATGTCTCCCAAAACTACAACCCCCAGAATTCATAGCATTGAGCTATGTGTTGAATTTTAATGATGATGGATGTACAGGAAACAGTCTATAAGACAAGGCAGTTTGTCCTGTAATCACCAACACACAGCCAGCTTTAGCAAGCTTCTTTTTTTATTGGAAAAAAATAGCATTAGCAATAAAATAAAACTATAAAGTCCAATAGTATTTTATTTTAGCCAAAATGGCTAACAGGAACAAAACTATAACTGTTATATTGTGAAAGATTACTCAAGCTATAGCATCTGTAAAATAGTTTTTTTAGCTAGTCCATTCAGTTTAAAAGTTGGAATAGAACTGACTCTTTTTTTCAAAGACACAATCCCAGCCCACATTTCTCTACCTCTTTGGGTGTAGCCTTTCATGCTAATTGGATGATTTTTCATGACGTGTTCATATCCCATCATGTGACTGATATTCTCAAAACATTCTTTGTTATTGAAAAACCTTCTGTAAATAAAACTCTTTCTCACAGTATTTTAGCTCGTTAACTAGCCTTTGTTTTGACTCTCAAACACCTGGGCTGGTTGTTGTGAATTTAGTCTCAAGAAGCAGTTCTCTCATCAAGGAAAAATACAGACACACATCTTTACATTTCAACATTTTAACATTGACTATATATCCCATCAAAACCTGACAATCCCCTCCTGAAATGTATGATGTGTGTATGTTGTACATTAAACTAAAACTGTTATAAAACTAACTTAGTTTGATGGCTAGGCCTAAACTTAAGACATGCCAAGTAGACGTGACATCTGGTCGTGTCTATCAATGGTCAATGTCTTTGTCAAGATGTTTGTTTGATTGTGTTTTGATTCAATGTACTGCAGACTCACAATTCTATTCTGTACCATTTTTCTGACATTCTGATATCTCACACCAGTGTACTTCGTTCTGTACTTTAGATTTTCAGCTTTAGTCATTGCAATGTAAGATTGAGAATCCTCATTTATCACCACTGGATCAACACATTTTTTATTTAGATCTTTTAACAACTGTCTAATCCATTTAATCTCATTAACTAACTCAGATAAGGCACCGAATTCGGCTTCTCCTGTACTTTGTGTTACGTATCCCTGTTTTCTATTTTTTCAAACAATTGTGCTTTTTCCAAACTTAATCAACAATCCTGTCACTGACTTTCTATCTTGTAGCTCAGAAGCAAACGAACTGTCAACAAAACATTTAAGTCCAGCTCGACTGTTTTGTAACTTCAATTTCTTGTCCATGCTACCCTTAAAATACCTCAACAAATGTTTTACTGCTGTCTAGTCCTCCACTGTAGGACAATTTGTTTTTCTTCCAAGTATTTCAACGGCAAAAGAAATGTCTGGTCTGGAGTTATTAGCGATAAACATCAGACTCCCAACAAAGCTCCTATATATCTCTGGATTTTAAAACTCTCTAGTCTCTTTATTATTTACATAACCAACTGACATTGGACTCTTCACTGTTTTTGTATCTTGCAATCCACACTTTTTTTTATTAAACTCTGAATTTTCTTCTGTTGGCTCAATAAACAATTCTCATCTTCACTCCATTTAACATCAATTCCTAGATAAGACCTTAAAACTCCAAGATCTTTGACACCAAAGCTATGGCAGTAAAAGTGGTGTCAACCTGGATTATTTCTGTAGTGTGGATACAACTACAAAGCAGAACAAAGAGATCTGGGTCTGTCTCTGTCCTTTGTGAGGCCTGAGGCCCCTTTGGAGGCAGAGTGCAGTGAGACTCTAAGGCAAATTCTGTACTGTCTGGAATCACACATGTTCCCCAGCTCTGTTGTAAAAGAAATATGGTTCCCAATCATCATGGCTAGTGATGACATGTATAAAACACTAAGTCCTGAATACTACCAACAAGTAATTGTTGAGTGAACTAACACTAGTAAAGAGCAGATGGAGGGGGTTGGCATGTATATTTCTGAGAGCTGTTTTTAATTTGAAGCTGCTGTTTGTAGGGAGACAGTGTTATGTTTGCACAGAGTTTAATAGACATCCTGTAGTACTGGTGTCATCTTATGTTCTGTAGGCTGGTCCTGATATATCCATTTAATTCTAAGCTGTTTGTTTATCATCTCTCACAAATCCTTGGATCCAGACTTTTCCTGTTCCAATAAGCAACATAGCCTGAAATCCTGTACACTCATACTTGGGTCAGTCCCATTGACCACAGTAGATGTGCATAGCCTTGAGATCCTGTCAACTGAACCAAAATCATGTCTGGGATGGAAAAAGGAGAAGATATTTAGTGTTTTCTGTACCCTAGAGCCATGATGGCGAAACTATGGCATGAGTGCCAGAGATGGCATGCAAAGCCATTTTCCCTGGCACATGGAGGGCAGGAAGGAGGAGGAAGAGGCGTGCACTTGTTCCTCCTCCTTCAAGACCCTCCCCGGCCTTCAGCTGCCTTCCTGGAGGCAGCAGAAGGCCAGGGATGGCATGGGGGTGGGAGGAGAAACAAGTGCCCACCTGTTCCTCTTCTTCCCTCCTCGCCCCCCGGGGCTTCAGCTGTCTCTGGAGAGGCAGCTGAAGGCCTAGGAGGGTTGGGGAGAGAAGTTCTGCCCCAGAAGTCCTGCCCCCTGCACTGGGTAACACCCAATGCCAGAAGGCCTTTTAGTTTGGGCACTCAGCCCCTAAAAGGTTTGCCATCACTGCCCCAGAGTGAATAATCAGAACAATAGTCAGGCACAAGACTCTTGTTTGCTTCAGAAATGCAGAGACATAAACTGGTGAGGTCTGCTACAGAATGGTGCAGCATGGAGTGCTTTGTAAACTAGAAATGTGATTTTAAAAAAATCTCTAAAAAGAGAAGTGCCTATCTTCTAACAGACATGGAGACAATACCATCTTGCTCTAGAAAGCCTTCTTTTTAAATGTTAAGTGTCAGGAGAACAAATTGGGCATATTTTGATGGATGAATAATATTCCGCACATTTTCAGGTGTACAGTAGACCCGCCACATTCTCTGAGTTTAGAGGCACAGGATCCCCGTGAAAGTGGAAAAACTGCAAATAAAAAACACTCTTTAGGAATCTCTAGGTCCTCTAAGGCACCTCTGTAGTTAACATCAGCTGGAAATTGACCATAGAATTGTGCTAGAGGACCTACAAATGCCTAGAGAAATGTTCTCTCTAGGAATCTTTAGGTCTGGAGTAGGCAATCTTTCCCCTTTAAGGGCCGAGGGACTTCAGCTCCCAGAATCCCAGGAGCTATTGGCCAACATGGGACTATTGGCCAACATGGCTGAGGCTTCTGGGAGCTGAAGTCCCTCGGCCCTTAAAGGGGAAAGGTTGCCTACCCCTGTTCTAGACAGAGAAACATGTTGTTGGATTATACTTAGCATCCATAATCTCTTACAATGGTCCTGAGTGGCTAGAGATGATAGGAGTTGCAGTCTAACAGCATCTGTGGGGCTACACATCCCCCAGTCTTGTTCTACTGCTTTAATATGTTACATGGGTTTGAGGTGACTGTGATGCCATTATCCCCTTCTTCTCTCTTCATAGGTCAGGAGCGTCTCCAAGCAACGGTACTTAATATATTTTCTGACTATGACTATAATAGATCTGTAATAACAATAGCAGCTCCCATTGAGAGTCTTGGTAAGTATTTTTAAAACTTTCTGTGTGTGAGGGGGGGATATTTACTTTTCTCTTTCTCTGAAGGTTGTGTTTGAGATACGAAGGTTGCAATCTTATACATGTGTGTGTGTGTGTGTGTGAGCATGTGTGTTGTGTGCCTTCAGATTGTTTTCAGTTTATGGCAACCCTAAGGTGAACCTATCATGGGGTTTTCTTGGCAAGATTTGTTCAGAGGAGGATTTGCCTTTCCCTTCCTCTGAGGTTGAGAGAGTGTGACTTGTGCAAGGTCACCCAGTGGGTTTCATGACTGAGCAGGGAATGAAACCCTGATGTGCAGAGTTGCAGTCCAACACTCAGACCATTTACCTGAGAGTAAATCCCCTTGAACTTAATGGGACTTGTATCTTCATAGGAGTGTGCAATGCTAAAATTTCTAGGAAATGAAGATTTAAAATTTCTTTCCTCCAAGCATCAGCTTCTAAGCCCATTCTTCAAATAATAAAAAGGGCTTTTGATGTGCTCATCAAGAAAAACTGAGTGAGACAATTAAACCAAAGCTGGTTAAGAAGGAATTACATATTAATCCCATCATTGTGCAGTTAAATTCTTCTACCCTAATTTAGTGCCAAAATATGCTGTTGTTTATTGAGTTGCCTTCTTTTTGTCTCCTCTGCCATTTATTTCATGTTTTTGTGCTATGTAGGGACAACATAGAGCCAGTGTGGCATAGTGGTTTGAATGTTGGCCTGTTAATCTGGAGACCAGGGTTTGATTCTCTGCTCAGCCTTGGAAACCTACTGCATTACCTAGGGCAAGTCACACTATCTCAGCCACAGAAAACCCCGTGACAGGGTCACCTTAGGGTTGCCATAAGTTAGAAACAACTTGAAAGTACACAACAACAGCAAAGACAACTTATTTGTTAGCAACAAATTGCTTTCCCCAACCTGATGTTCACAAGTTGTGTTTAACTTCAGCCCCCATCATCTATTATGTTGTTCTAGGATGATAAAAATTGTAAACCACTACATCTGGAAGATACCAGTTTGGGAAGGCTAGCTTAGACAGATAAGGCCAGAAAAAGTGTCTCTTCAGCACCAAGAAAAAGTAATCTTATTTGCCCACGCTTTTGATATTGAATTTTCTCTGTCTCTTTAAAAAAAAAATCTCTTCAGTGATTCTCTTGTGTTATAGGTATTTATTGTCTTGTATTAAAATTTTGTTGTTGTTGTTGTTAACTAACTGCCCTTGAGTCAATCTTGACCCATGGTGGCCCTATGGATGAGACATCTCCAAGAAAACCCTCTGTCCTCCACTGCTCTGCTTCATTCCTGTAGCCCCTTAATACCCATGACCTCTTTAACAGACTCCATCCATCCAGCGTGTGGCCTTCCTCTCTTCCTACTTCCCTCCACCTTTCCCAGCATTA